CCTTATTTTCCCTTTCTTTTCTCCCTCCCTCCCTTCTCTACTTCCTTCCTTCCTCCTCTCCTTCCCCTTCCTTCTTCCCATTATACCCTTCCTGCTCACCTTAAATGGTCGGAAAAGGAGGTAGAGTTCTCGGGGCTTGATGTCCACCGGGAGGCCACTCACGAAAAGTGTCCGTACCTAAGGGAGACAGAGAACCACGTATCTCAACAAAGTTCGAGACAATTGGACCTCATAGTTTACGAGATTGAGTTCCTTCAGGTGTGAGATCACATGATGTGATGAATCCCAGGAAGAGGACGAATTCAGGGAAGGGTATTCTCCATCCACGTGGAAACGAACGTTCTCATCTGAGTCACATGAAATTGAATCCCCTCTGACTCAGGGCCAACCTTACACAATGTTAGATAGGTAACCAATGTCTTTAAAAAAAAAATTACGCACCAGAATGACTCATTTTCATCTAGACAAGAGCAAGCTGAGGAGGCCATTTTCATCCCAGCTCACCCATCCGCCCCCCACTAACCAAAAATGATCTCCCAACTCCCACGGGTAACTTTTAAGAGGTCTAAAGTCTCCCACCCGTACCAATAAAAGCTGTTCTTACTTGCAACGTGGATAGCTTCTTAATAAAAAAAAACACACCTGCAGAAAGAATCCCACTGCAATCTGGGCAAAAAGTTTTTCTCCTGTGCCCAGGTGGGGGATTTTAAAAACCAACTTCCTCCCGTGTTTAAAACGATCTGCAGAATCAAGGAGTCCACTGAACGGAGGCAGAGAAATTTGGTCTCCTTGCCTACTGGGAATGTAAAGTTTGCAAGAAGTAGATGGGACTCGTTCGTTACTCCTTGGGGAATTCTGGGAGTTGAGGTCCATATATTTTCGAGTTGCCAAGGTTGAGAAACACCATGACAGTCTTACACCAAAATATGGACGGTGGGATTCTGAAATTTTAGCTTGGAAAACATAGCACAGACTCAACATTTGCTGCAGAATCTAGACCAGGAGTTGCCTACGCCTCACGGGGGGTGGGGGGTGGTGGTGTTGATTTCGAATGGGGGCAATTTGAATCTTGTTTAAACCAAGTTAATGGCCTTTTAGGCTTCCTGTGAGTGAGTAGAGTTCATTTTTTGATTAAAGTATGAATTATATGTCACCGGGGTGGGGGGATCAGGATTTTAAAGATGTTTAGGTGGGGCATGGCCAAAAAAAGGTTGGGAACCATTCAGAGGTGGGTTCCTACCAGTTCGCACCTATTCGGTAGAACCGGTTCGTCAAATCTACCGANCTCAAAGTCCTATTTTATTAGAGATGTCATATTGGCACATCTGGGAAAACCTGAATCTGAAATCTTCTGGGTTTTCTCCACCCCAAAAGAAGTCAAAGTCCCTTCCCCTGCATCCACATATTCATCATATGGTCCAATCACGGCATCATCCAAACTGGAGATGCATCCCACTTCAGGTGCAGGCTGAATCGTCCTTGACTCCCAGAAAAAAAAGCATGTTGCTATATATCTCTACCATTCCATTCAACCCCCCCCTCTCGATTTCCCACAGCACTAAGAGTGGCAGCCCTGAAGACCCCCCCCAAAAAAAAGGTTGGCCTCCAGGGCTGCAATAAGAGCTTTTGCTAGAGTTTTTAGTAGGAACATGCCAAATTTTCCCATTAGGAATCCAATGTGTGCAAAATGTTTTCCATTAATTAAGCAGATGTTGATGTTGGTGATTACATTATGCATTTTGATATATGAGCATGTTGGTATATGTCTATGTGCACATATAATTTTCACTCCTGGAAATGGTATGATGGCCTTGATACAAATTCCATTTTCTATCCTTCTTCCTCTAGAAATGTTATCACTGCTCAAATTGGTTTTCTTTATAGAGCTTTGGTTTCTCTGTATGTGTCAGACACCCATTCAAAGGCGTGGGAGTATTGTCCTAAGGGTGAATTCCAACATATGATCCTATTTGTGCACAATAGAAATAAACCACCAACTTTCCACCATCTAGGCTCAAGTTTTATAAGGATGTCATAGAAATCCCTTTGGATTATGGAAAAAAATGTTCTATTTTAAGATAGGCTTGTAGCTAAACAGAGCTGTTACAAAAGAGCTATGTGAAAAGGAGAGCTCACTGCTTCTAATGTAACAAACAATTCACTGAGCAAGAAGGAAGACCCTTAACTTAAAAACAAGCATGCACAGAACAGTCACAAAATCTGATCTGAAGGGAGTACCTAATGGTCGCAATCTGACAGCAGATAAAAAGAGGTGTAGTTGGAAACATCCCCAAATTATTTTTCTAATAGAAACTGTTGGAAAACAGAAACTGAATTTCTACTTCTGATTGGTCTGATAAAGAAGATTCTGATCAAACCATACATATTTAGCAGCATTATCAGGGAAGAAGACCAATATTGCCAAAAGTCAAACAAGCAGACCGTCCAATTCATACAATATTTCCAGGGAGGAATAATAAAAAATATAATTATATACTGAATTAGTTGTTCTTGGAAAGGTTTGCACAAATATAACTCAATGTTAGAGAACCAATTTTTGAAAAGTAAGAATTATTTTTGAAATAAAAGTGAAATTCCCTGGAATTGGGAAAACACTGGACAAAATTAGAATAATTCAGAGAGGTTTGGGAAATATTTAAACAGAAGCAAGTTGTTTGTGTGTTTTGTTTAAAGCAGCTGAAATTCAAATCTAGTTAAAATTTTATAAGACACTGAAATAATCACCCATTTGTAGGCTTTCTCATCAAACTCTCTACATAAGGAAAAAGAGATGAAAAAGAAATTATAAGTCATCATGGAGGTTAAATTTGTAATTATATTTGGGTTTATTTTCTTTTCCAGAAGCAAAAAAAAGTATTTTAAAAATCAGTAAGAGTTACAAGGATGTTACCATTTTAATGCTTACTTGGTGATTACCATTTTCAAATTTTTAAATTTTCAATTTTATTCTCTCTGCCATATCTATAGATTCCTCCTTCCATGCTAATTGAGCATGATACATTTTTTAAATGTATGAATCATTATTTACAATACCTTAACTTATGTACTCTTATCTTCTGGTACATGGAAGTTTAATATAATTGTCAAAATCCAACAAAAGGTAATTAACAAGAAAGGAACTGCTGTTGTTAGTAAAGTAGGGCAGAGGGGAACTGCCAAATAAATCAGTTACCTAGAAAAAAATATCATCAGAAAAGTCAAGTTTGACTGAAAATTTTATCTAATCCTTCTCATTTTTTTGAAATTATGGAAATGTAATATGGTTTGAAAGAAACCTGCTTATTCTAGCCTATTCTGCAACTAATATTTAAATAACTGATGTAAACGTGTGGGTGCCTTGAGTCCCCTTTATGCAGAATAAACTCATAATTTTAGCTTTAATTAAATGTAGAATATTTTCCCAGTGTTTGCACATGAAACATTAATGACAAGTGTGTGACATAACAGCATGCATATTTATTTTTAATAAATGCAATCCACAGACTTGGAGCTTGTGTTGACATCACATTTTCCGTCCTGCTCCCCACCCCCAGTCCCCCTTCACATTTTGTTGGTTTTTTAACACCTGTTTCTTATTTCACTATTTGTCTTCATTTTCCCCAAGAAGGTTTACAGGTCAGGATAACAATTAAATGAACAATTGGCCTATGATAGAATGCCAAAATAAGAAGGTGGCTGACAAGGTATCACATACAAACCAGGATTGCTGCTGTTTTTAAGAATGACAGAGAAAGGACATTTTTATTTTTGCACTTTTAGAATATATTAATCATGGTTGTGATTTTGGAAAATGTAAAATATATATTTGCCCCCTAAATATAATCGATATGATAGACTGCATGTTTACCGATTACCGATTTCATTTTAATGATACATCAGCACAGATGCAATATTTCTATTTTATTATTTTAAAATTACAGGCATAGAAAAATTAGGTGGTAACTTGTGCCCTTTATGTGTCTTTAATTTTTTTTTATTTGAGTGTTATTAGCATTTTATTTTATCCCATTAGGCTACTAATACAGTTTATGAACTATGAACACACATGCACTAAACAATGTTTTGATGTAAAGCTAATGTTTTATTAAATAAATAAAATATTAAAAAAAGATATTTTTATTACAAAAATAAAATCTTGACTTTTTTTGGCAGAAAAAAAATTCCATCTTTCACATAAGCAAACTGGCTACCTGTATTATTTTTAACACAAATAAAAAAATATTAGCTAAGTGAATTAAAGTTGATACTTCTGTACCAAAGGCCTTTTAAAAGTATTTTTCCTCCATTTTTCTTCTAGTTTCTGATTACATGAACTTTCAGTTACCTCTGTGCAATATTTTGTATTTGTTTGCTTGTTTTTAACAGAAACAGTGAAACAAGTTTTGATTGTCTGATTATGATAATGTGCCCTCAGAAGCTTTCTAATAGGTCATAATATCATCAAAAATTGTATGAAATAAGAAAAGTAACATGAACAACTTTTCCTAAAACTGTGGAACAGATTTTGGTTATATTTATTAGTCCTCATTCAAATCCAAGTTAAGTAAAAGTCAGTCGTGCACACTTAGAATAAATAACTTTTGGAATAACTTTGTTGTCATTTTGAATGCACACTAATCGGCATGCATTAAAATGAAATTTCATTGCATACGGCTCTCAAGAGGTCACTACTTCTAATATGCACTACATAAACATGAATAAATGGATAAATAAATAAATAAATAAATAAATAAATAAATAAATAAATAAATAAATAAATAAATAAATAAATAATAAATACAAAGTTATGTATATACCCACATCTATTATATGGCACAGAGAAACAACACAGTCTAGTTCGCGTGTACATGGCGAGAAAAACGAATCTTGCGAGTTTACGAGATGGAGGGCGCAGGGAACAAAACTGCTACAGAATCTGATAGTCCTGCTAGAAATGCTTCAAAACCTCCTCGCAGAGAGGAGCAACAAAAACAGACTGTAAAGTGGGTGTGTGGGGTTTCTAACAATGCTTTGAGCTATAAGCACATCTTAATATTGCTATATCTTCCTCTTTTTAAAAAAAACCTTCTATTGTCTGTTTCCACAAAAATGATATTTGCAAAGCCTTCCTTTGAAAAAAAACCATAATGTTCATTGCATTCTCGCATAATCAAATGGCTCTCTGAATAATGCAATGCACAGAAATTACTTGCCTGTACACAGTGGGGGAGCATCTTCACAACAACTGCTCGTTCATTTTCCTCTAATTTAAACGTTTCTTATATAACTTGCTAATAAAAGAAATCAATTGTTAAACTCTTTAAGAAAAACACATGAGAAGGTCAGCATTATAATAAATTAAACAAAAGGAAATAAATAAATAAATAAATAAATAAATAAATAAATAAATAAATAAATAAATAAATAAATACCACAATTCCAAATAAAATCTCCTTTAAAAAAAACAACAGTATACTTTAGAACTGTCCTCAGGGCAACCAGATGAATTCTGCATTTATTTATTTTTTAAAAAGTGTTTATAGTATTTATAAAGACAGAGCTGAACTTAATGCCTTGAGAAGGTGCGATGGCTGAAGCAAAATGAGACAACACAAATTCTTCCCAGTTCTTCAATCATGTTCTACATCTTTGTTATGAATGCATAACATAATTATATCCATATTTTTTTTCAGGCTAATGTATGGAGAGTTTGGGAGTGAAAAGAATTAATATCTCATGATGGAAATAGTCTGCCTAATTTTTGGAAGAGAAGGGGAAGGCGGGGGGGGGGGGTCTAGTGACAACAAACCTTAAGACTGATGTTCCCAGCGTAATCCTCTAATTTTCAGGGATCTCCCTTTTCCTTCTGCAATCCCCTAAGGCCACACTTCATATTCTTCTACTGTATAACATTCATGGGCTCCAGAAGACTTCCCATTGCAGGAGGAAATATCAGCTAAGCAGATGTTTCCAACTTTCCCCTTCACAAATTCACGGGCAAGCAGATGGGGGAAAAAAATCTAAGAATTAAGGGTGGGAATTACAGGCGCTAAGACTCCATATTTTTTTTCTAGGCAGTAGCACCTACTTTACATTTTCAACAAAAGATTCACTGACCACTAGTCACAAAGATTGAACCTCTCTATCAGAACCTCCTGGGGTTTCTTATACTCTTCTAAAGAAGCATCCATCCCTTATCCAAAAACTGGCCTGGCATTCTAAGTCAATCAAGCTTAAGTGTTGGACAACGCTCAAAACAGGAGAATATCAATTCATTTCTCATAGACCAATGAGAGACCACAAGCTTTCAAGAGCCTTTGCAATTAATTTCTTCAGTGGCATTACTTTATGTTGGGAATAAATATGGTGTTTAGTTATAACCGCTTAGGTTCGGAGTTTGGTATAATATCCCAAAATGAAATAATGGGAATCATATTTCTAATGCCTCTAATATTTTCTTCCTACAATGCTAAGCCATGTGCCTTAAAAATGTAAGCTTTCTCTTCCTTCGTTTCTTGAATGCTATCTGGCAATGTCACTTCCCTTAGATTTTGTTTCTACATAAGTAGTCTCATCCAGTTTGGGAGACAATTCACTTTCACTCTTCATTAATCTGATGCATGAAATAAATGATGCCCTTAGAAATAATAAATTGTTTTTTACCTTTGCATGACTTTCAGAATGTACATATTGCATGTAGCTCACCACTTCGTGGTTGCTAAATATTTATTAGCAAACAAAACAGTGAAAATGAGTTTGTGTGTGAATGTGTATGCATGCATGTGTGTGCATTCAACATGACACCAGAGATGGAATCCTTTATTGAATTCATAGTTTGAAGTGAATCGGGATTTTTGTTTTCACTGTACCACTTTAAAGCTTAATATCCTGCCATTCCTTATAAATTCATTATTTTCAGCATATTTTTCCTCTCCACAAATGTGTTTCATTTTAATGGGGCTGAAAATGCTTTAGTTATGCTGTAGCCCCAACGAGCTGAGAGAATGCATATAAATAGGCTGTGGACTTTTTTTTTAAGATTTCCAATGTCAATGTCAGCTAATATTCTTAGTCGCTGACAGGCATTCAGCAAAATGCTGCTAGACAGACACCCCTTCAGCTACTGCTCAGCCGATTTCATTAAGCAGTCTTCAAAAGAAACCCTACAAAAAAAGGAAACTAATAAAAATGTACAGTATTTATATTTCATGTATTACCTAGGTTTTGGTTTCTTTGACATCTTAATAGTATTTGCAACTCCAAATAGAAATCATTTTTGACAGTCTTCAGCTAAATGTGAGATAGGTTAATTATTCATATCCTTTTTTATTGTTTTGCAGATTTTATGAGCAAAACTATGTCATGCCATACATGCGGGAGAGATGGAAATAGGCAGGATCATTTAAAATCTGACTAGGATCTTCTCTCTTCCAATTAATGAACATTACTATAAGAACAGCAGAGAACTGTGGTTCTCCAAAGCATTATTGTCATTTGCCTGTTTCAAGCAGACACCGCTTTGAATAGCTGGAATAGCATGTTCTTGTCTTGAAGTATGAAGCATTTGGACCAATTTCCATAAATCACAGAGACATAGAATAGCGCCTTGCCAGAAATTGTTCCATTTCAAACACAGGTGATGGGATTATATGTAAAATGTTTTGAAACCTTTTCCACTAAAAAAAGAAACCCAACAGAGACGGACAGCAAGTCCAGGAAAAGCTTCAATCCAGAGATATTTATTTTTCCTGGGGTTGCTTCAATCTTCCCTCCCCTTGCAGGCTGAATCACACGAATGAGGCAAATATAACCGTGATTAGAGACTTTCCGAGGCGAAATTTGTTCTCCGATTTTGAGGTTGCCAAATTCTTTGTAGCAGGAACAATGGCATGTTAGAATTTTGTTGATCAAATTTGCATCCCTTCAGAAATATGTCCCAA